CACCCAAATCATGAAAAAAAGTGCGATTTATAATCCGAAAAATACGGTAAATTGTGTGAAAACAAAATTTATTTTAACAATACAATTTCAGGAGCCTGTGTTTCAGAAGAGTGTTCTTGGTCTTGTTTAGGTGAGGGAGCTGTTAGTGACTTGTCTAACAACACAAATCTTTGCATCTGTTGTAGTTCCAACTAAATCATCTGTTTTGGGTCAGATTTTGTTAGATTAAAGATGAATGTGTCAGATTAAAGCCTAATTCCAGTGTAAATCTCATGTTTTATACAATTCGTGCTGCATCAATGAAAAAGTATAATATTCTAAATAAGCGTGACAAGGGACAGGTGTCTAAACAGCTCACACTAAGCTCGTGTGTGGTACAAACTAAAGCCACAGCTGCCCCGGGGTAGATTGACACATGTGGGGCTGTTAATCTGCACCACCGGCCCCTCATATAGATTCTTTTATTCATACAGTGCAGCCATTTGCCAGCACATACACAAGAGTATTGCCTAACGCTGAAGCATGTGTTTTCTCCTCCACACTGCACCATTCATTCAGTTACAGTTGTGTGCACCTGTCACACAAGAACAGTTGAACACACAGCCCCACAGGTCACGTGACTCTTTAAACAAACTCCTCAGCCAATCAGAGGCGTGCATGTGCTGCCTGTGGAACTGCAGACACACATTACAAACTGGAGTTGTTACACTGTGTTTTGGATCAATGTTAAACACTGTATATAGAAGTGCATTTGTGAGTACAGTATTTTTAAGACTATAAGTCGCACCAAAGCATAAGTCGCACCAGCCAAAAAATGTGCAACGAAGAAGAAAAAACATATGAGTCGCACCGGAATATAATTTATGTTATAAAATCAGAGACCAGGAATCAGCATTTTATGTTAAAAGGGAAGTTCTTGTAATAACAATAGAGAGAACAACAGACTGTTAACCTCACATATGAAAAGTTTTGCAAATAACTATAACATAAACAACAGAACAAGATTACCAAACTCTCCATCTCACTCCAAATCAGCATCAGATCCAGTTAGAATTATTCGGGCCTTTCTGAATCCCGACAGGATGGTTTTGGTGTCACTGAAGTCCAGGCTTTTTCCATCCATCCAGTGACTTCCAGGAAAGTTTCATGGTGCATCCTCCCGGTGTCACAAGTTTCTCGCTCACTCCAAACTTTCCTTCTGTTGCTCGATTACTGTTCTCAGCTGCAGATTTCACGACTTGCATCTTGTAATCTGCAAAATATGATTCATTTGTGTTCAGTCTTCTCACTCGTCTTTATAAGTTTGTTTACATTTTCAGTGGTGCAGAAGTAATGGTTCGATCGACTGACATGATACAGACAGGACAGAGGCTCTTTCTGCAGGAGACATGTGCAGTAGAGTGAAGTGACAGTGGTACAAGAGGAACTGGAGCAGCAGATACTGACACACAAGACTAGAACCTCTCGTGACTTCAGTGTGAACATTTTAATATATAAGTCGCACCAAAGAATAAGTCGCAGGAAACACTTAAACCATGAAAAAAACTGCAATTTATAATCCAAAAAATATGGTATTTTGAATTGTCCAGTCCCATATTACGCAAAATTGATGCTTATGAGCTTTTAGTCATGTTATAATGCTGTTATCTCCTCAGAAACAGACCCGTAGTTGTGTTTTGTTTCATTTACACATATTTGAGTAACACTTTATTATTAGTCTGTCTATATCTCCAAAGCTCAAAATGCTCCGTGCCACCTTGTGATGTCATGTAGTTTTCAAATCAACAGCTCCTTTTACCTTTTGTTCAACAGAGATTGGTGTAAAATCATCCAAATGATTCTAGTGAAGATTTGAGGAGAACTAGGCTTAAATACGCAGAATTTGTGTGTTAAATATGTGTGAATGAAACAAAACAACTCCAGGTTTTGATGAGGAAACATTATAACAGATCAGAAAATAGTGTAATGTGGGCCCTTTAAACTTTAATTTCAACTAGGATCATGCTCACAGCCCGAGTATCCACATGAATGTATTTGTAGTTAGTTGATGTCAATATAGACTAATGGTAGAGATGTGTTATCAGGGCGTGCAGTGGAGTGGGCAGAGGGTGTGGGTTAGATAGACACCAGGACTGTTCTGATAGGCACCACACTGACCACTGCTTTAACTGCTCTTTATGCAAATGTATGTACAGTATGTTTATGTACAGAGAGTTTGAATTAAAAGGCCCATGTTGCGCTATTTTCTGATCTACAATATATTCTAATGTTGTTTTCTCATCACAAACAGACCTGGAGTTGTGTTTTGTTTCATTCACACATGTTTAACTCCTATAACGCCTGCATATTTAGGCTTCCACTGTGTTTTTAAACTGCATACATTGACCTTCATGGGAATTATTTGGATAATTTTAAGACTTTAATCTAATCGCTAGTAAACAAGAGTTAAAAGATAGTGATTAATTTGAAAACTACTGCTTCAAGACATCACAAAAATGAATGAATGAAACAAAATGCAACTCGTCGTGTGGTTTTGGTGAGGTAACAACATTCTAACATGACTTAAAGCTCACAAGAATCCATTTTGTGTAATAATGTAGGACCTTTAAGGGTGGTTGATGTTAACCTGATTCATCAGGCGGTCTCACTTTGTGGAAACAGTCTGATCTCACAGCATTAGGATTCATTCGCTCGACAGTAGGTGGGTACTTTTTTTGTTTAATCAGTCTCTGCTATTTGGCTGTGACGTATGTAATGCGCCAAATCCCGTAGGAAGAAGGACAATAACGTCTTTCCTCTTGATAAAATTCACCAAACATTCTCTTTGTTACGGCTTGAAATCCTCGATCTCGGGAATCGTTGCCAACACAGAATGTATGTATTCGTCTACATCCATCTTGACCGATTTGTTTACTGTTTTGCTGTTCCACAAAAGGGACCAGACAGACGCGACGAGTTTGACGTCATGGCTTCACAGCTCTTCACTGACCGTCTAGTGTATTCCGATTCCTGACCTAGTCACTGGAGAGAAATGAAATTGAGCAGAGGCAGTAGATGGCACAGCCTGGCTATGTTGATGTGGCAATATAATAATAATAATAATAATAAAAACCTGAACTTAGTAGCTTTGTTTTTTAGGGGTAAGTAAAGTCGTCAGTTTTTTGTAATGATCTCAGCGCTTTGTGATTGGTTAGAGCCACTTGCACATACACAGACTGGTAACAAAGAGGAGTGGGCGGGGAAAAGTTGAAGTGCTTTACTGGTTAATGCAGCTCTATGCTCAGAGTCAACTTATGTGTGTTTAAGATAAGCGAGGAGCCTGTCGTCTGCCCTCACCAGCAATCCAAGCGAGGAGTTTGGCCTCTTAAAGGGTCCATTTTATACTATTTTCTCATCTATGTTATAGTGTTTCCTCATAACTAACAGACCTGGAGTTGTGTTTTGTTTCATTTACTCATGTTTAACAGGTTTGTACCCTGCGTAGTTCTTCTCTCAAAACAGAAAACACTTCCACCTTGTGATGTCATGTGGTAGTACAGGACATGTTCAGTGTGTTTTTAAACTCCATACACCTTCACTAGAGTCATTTGGATACTTTCAGCTCTGAACTAGCCAATCTCTACTAAATAAAATGTAAAATGTAATTGATAACTTCACACACAAGGCAGAATAAACTATTTAATTATAAGCTTTGGAAAAGCAGACAGTCTAATATAGCAACAAAACACAACTCCAGATATGTTTTTATCAGGTAACAACATTATAACATGGTTAAAAGTTCACAAGAATCTATTTTGTGTCATATAGGACCTTTAAACACACCTTATATTGCAAAATCAAAACAGTAGATTGTCACAGGATCAGATCACTGTTACATTTTGTATTTTTTCCAGTCCAAACTGTTTTTGTGAATGAATGAGAAGTTTATTTGTGTATCTACTATGAGTCCTGCGGCCTTGAGTCTGGTTGGCCACTGTCCAGACCATGCCCCGCCTAAGGACCAGTTAGAGATAAGCTGCATTAAAGGCAAAAGATAAAACAAACAATGAATAAAAGCGTTAGGTTTAACTGATGCTGCATTGTGTAACTTTTTTGGTGGAGGGTCCATCAAATGCTTTTCTCCATGGAGATGTCATTGCTTTGTCTGGAATGTTTCACAGTATGCTATTAAACCTTTCTTTTGGTCTTTATGGAAATGAAACCAGACCAGAAAGTTACACAAAGCACCTTTGGGTAAACTGCAGACAGATAAAGCTGAGTTCATACCTGCACACTTTGTTTTACATACATCAAAACTAGGCCCAAACCAAAACTAGACTATGGAACACATTTTAGACCTTTTGTGGTTCAGTTCCCAGGTCGCCCGGTTCTTTCTGGGTTTCCTCTGGGCACTTCCCTCACAAACCCAAAACAACAGGTCAAATCTTCCAGCTAATGCAGTCCTGACTAAGACTGGCTCAGGATCTGGAGACGGGTCCCTAGGGGCTGTTTGGCAGCACTCAGCAGCACTGGTTAAAGGACGGGTCAAATATAGAGAATTCATTTCCCTCTCGAGGTATCTATAAAGTAAAGCTTAAAGTGTAGTGTTACCATAGTGTTAATAACAGTAAAAATAAATATCATCATCCAGCCCAAGATCAAACCAGGACAAGTGTATGAATGCTATGGTAAAATCAGGTTCTTACTTCTGAGTTCAGTGGAGGTGTCTCACAGGAGTCCCGCGGCCTCTGGGCTCTGTGTGACGCTGTACTGCTTTAGGACTAGTGAGTTATGTTATCTTTTTATGTTACATTATATTTTATGTTAGTCTTGTTCTTCCTCTTCAGGCTCAGTGGAGGTTGTATTATATTTTTGTATGTTAACAGTCTTGTTCTTCCTCTTCAGGCTCAGTGGAGGTTGTATTATATTTTTGTATGTTAACAGTCTTGTTCTTCCTCTTCAGGCTCAGTGGAGGTTGTATTATATTTTTGTATGTTAACAGTCTTGTTCTTCCTCTTTAGGCTCAGTGGAGGTGTCCCGTAGGAGCCCTGTGGCCTCTTGGCTCTGTGCCATGCTTTACTGTTTTGGGAGCTACATTTTGGCCGACATAATGCTCGGACACAGCCCCGTCGACTACTTCCAACACAACAGCCACATCCTGCTGGCCTCCGCTGTCTGGTGAGAATACACTTCACCCTCACACTGGGTCACAGGCATTTTAGGGCTATTAGGCAAATATGGACTCACGGTGGACTTCACAATGGGAGATTAAAGCGCACATATTCATTTAAATGTAATATTTCTGAGCTATGGCTTTATCAGCATGTAGAAGACCCAGAACACACATTTCTTCAAGACTTAATGAACACATGAGTTTTGTTTGTGACCAAATCTTCTTCTTAAAGCCTGATCTGGTCAGAAGCTCAACAGGGCCTGGTTAGAACTTGGATGGGAGACCATCAGTTATATCAGGTGTCACAGTGGGATACCAGTAACAAAACTATTGTTAGGCAAGACACCTGCCTAATATGAAAGTGGTGAGTGAGTGTGTTGGTGGTGGTTGGAGGGGTTTGGCCGCTTAGTAGCCTCGCCTCTGTCAGTCTGCCCCAGGGCAGCTGTGGTTACAATAGTATCTTACCACCACCGAGTGTGGAGTGAATGAAATTGTAAAGAGACTGTGACTGTCTGGACAGTGATATATAAGACTAATGCATTACTCTTGATCTCCCCAAGTTCAGATGGGTGTGATCTGGTCAATCAGGGACACACACTCATATTCAGATATGGCTGCTTATGAGGAAAAAATAAAGGAAAGAAACAAGGGATGTTTCTACGCAGCACTAAACTCAATGAGTGACCAGAATAATATCCCTCTGTACAAAAATATAAAGTGACTTCATTCTGGACTTGTCAGGCCATGTCATACCTGGGGCTGAGTTTTGTTTCATTGAAAATATGTTTGAGTAACGCTGCATATTTAGTCATTTTTATGTTCTTATTTATAACCTCCTTCCTAACTATCAAAATTACACTGTTTACATTATTAAGCGTATATTGTTAATAATGTAATTTTTTTAAAACTACTTTACAACTTTTGCTGGTAACAGTGATGTTTAGTGTGTTGTTGAAGTCTGGCTGAATTAGTTTGACTTAAACGCAGGTGCAAATACAAGCTGAAAAATTAAGACTCTACACATTGACTTTTACAAACATGACAAGTTCATCAGAGTCTATATTCTTATTCTATCTCCTTGAATGTCTCACTCCACGCCCCGCGCAGGTACCTGATCTTCTACTGCCCTCTGAACCTGTTCTATAAGTGCGTGGCGTTCCTCCCGGTGAAGCTGGTGCTGGTGGCTCTGAAGGAGGTGGTCCGCACCAGGAAGATCGCCGCCGGAGTTCACCACGCCCACCACGCCTACCACCACGGCTTCTTCATCATGGTCATCGTCGGATACGTCAAAGGTGCGCTTCAACAAAATACAACGGTTTCAGATTGTAAAAGAAGGCTCAAAGGAATAGTGTTTGAATAGTACATTTTGCAAACCTGGAGTTGTGTTTATTAGATTATTAGTCTGTCTACATCTCCAAAAACTCAAAAGGCTCCGCTCCACCTTGTGATGTCATGAAGCGGTAGTTTTCAAGTTAACAGCTCCTTTCACCTCTAGTTCAGTAGAGATGTAGAGTAGAGAATTCCAGGGCTCAAATTATCCAAATGATTCTAATGAAGATGTGTAGAGATTAAAAACACAGTGGAGCACTTCCTGTATTACCACATGGACAGTGTTTTTTTTTCTGTTTGAGAGAAGAACTCAGCCTAAATGTGCAGGATTTGTGTGTTAAACATGTGAATGAAACAAAACACAACTCCAGGTCTGTTTTTAAAGATGAAACAACATTATAACTAATCAGTATATGGTGTAATATGGGCCTTTTAAAAATGAATGCAACAGTTCAATAATCAAACTTCTTCTTCTTTGTCACCTTCTTGTTGTGAGTCCAAAGTGTTAACTAGTTACTTCTATTTTATGCGAATTAATATTGTGTTATTTCCATCCCTGCATCTGGTGCTCCGACCTAAAATCACACACACTGCAATTTAGTTCTTCAACTAGATCATGTCTCAAAATGTTTGGTTTCCCCAGACTCTGCAGATTCCCTCTGCTCCTGAGGGATGTAGGAAAATATGCAAACTCACAACAGAGAATAATCTATGTTATCTGTTCCAGAAAAAAGAGCTTGAACCACCAAACCTGAACTAATCCTAAAGAAACAGTCTGCTGGATTAGGATTAAAGAAGTGTAAAATGTGAACTAATAATAAAAGAAATAGATAAAAAGAGCAGCGTGCGATAATAATTACAGCTTGCATTTTTTTAAAGGTTAAATATTAGGCTTAATTGATTTTTGTGGACTTTTAAGACATGTTATAATGTTGTTACCTCGTCAAAAACATACTTAGAGTTGAGTTTTGTTTCATTCACATGTTTGAGTAACCTTTTATTATTCGTCTGTCTATGTCTCCAAAGCTCAAAATGCTCTCTTGCACCTTGTGATGTCATGAAGCGGTAGTTTTCAAGTTAACAGCTCCTTTTACCTTTTGTTCAGTAGAGATTCAAATGATTCTAGTGAAGGTGAATGGAGTTTAAAAATGAAAAACTCTAAATATGCAGGGTTTACGTGCTGAAAATGTGTGAATGAAACAAAACACAACTCCAGGCATGTTTGTGATGAGAAAACATTAAAACGTAGATCTGAAAATAGCGTCATATGGGCCCTTTAAGCAGATACAAGCAAAGTACATGGTCTTTTACAAGTTAACAGTCACATGACCCCTCTTTATCCCTCTGTGTTTATGTTTAAAATGGCTGAAGTGGAGTAGTGATGCGAGTCCGACTTGAGCTAAATCTTTTCCGGTGTCTATTTTTACACAGGCTCCGGGGTGGCTCTCATGTCAAACTTTGAGCAGCTGCTGAGAGGAGTGTGGAGACCAGAGACCAACGAGATTCTCAACATGTCATTGTGAGTATAAGAATCGAAAATCGGATAATAATCGATACTAAAACTGACGTCGAAACTAGATACTCATTTGTGCGAGAATCAATACTGAAAAAGTCACATTCACAACACGGAAATGAAGAGAAATGTTATTGCTTTACCTCTGATATTCCAAAGTATGGCATTAAACTTTTCTGTCTCCATAGCAACAAGCAGGAGACGCCACCAGGGTAATTTACAGGGGAGATCTGTGCCTCCACTCTCAGTAAAAATGCATGTTTCAGGGTGTTTTTGATCAATAATAAAGTCACCCATAATCAAATAAATGCATCTTATATAAGCAAACGCATCTTCATGATAGTGGACCAACCTAAAAAGTTACGCAGTGCACCTTTATGTAAGAACTTGTGCATGGTAATATAACAAAAAGTACTATGATTTAATGAAAATCACATTATATTATCTAAAGAGAGAATCGGTATTGAGTATTTTAGTATTATAGTATTGAAATAGAGTTTGAAAGTTTAATATCATGACAACACCAGTCCAAACTAAACTCCAAAGTATTTCACACAGATAAGAGATGAGCATTTTATTTGTGTATTTTTAAGTTCATGTATTACGGCTGAATGATTTCAATTTCTTGTTACTCCCAGATGGGGACAAGAGTAAGTCAGGCTGGCGCCCCCTAGTGCCTCTGCACAATTTCATTTCTCTCCAGTGACTAGTTCAGGAATCAGAATACACTAGACGGTTTGCAAGAACCCCGGAAGTTGTAGGCCGCACACCGGCCAATCAGAGAAGACCCATGATGTCAAACTCGTCGCGTCTGTCTGGTCCCTTTTGTGGTACAGCACAACAGTAAACAAACCTTCGAGATGGATGTAGATGAAGACAGACATTCTGTGTTGTCAACGATTCCCGAGATTGAGGATTTAAACAGAGCAAAGAGAATGTTTGGTGAATTTTATCAAGGGGAAAGATGTTATTGTCCTTCTTCCTACGGGATTTGGGAAAAGCTTAATATACCAGTTTGCCTCATTAGCGGCACATTACATACGTCATGACTAAATAGCAGTGATTGGTTAAATAAAAAAAGTATCCACCTACCGTCGAGTGAATGAATCCTAATGCTGCGAGGTCAGACGGTTTCCCCGAAGTGAACCAGGCTAGGAAAGAGTCAGATTTCCCCACTGATTATATGGTATTCTCATAAGAAATATCTAAACGGCAAATTCACAAATATTGAACCTGATTATTTCTATTACTGACTACACCTAAAACTCACTGTGTTACAATAAGAACCTGCATTTTACCAACACATTAGGGATGAGTGTGAGTTGAATGATTAGTAGAATACGTGTGTGTGTTTTAGAATAGTATTTCAGCACTGTGACCATAAGTAATATCTGTTTTAAATTATTTTTGGTCAGTTTGTCTATACACACTGAATCTGTACTTTCATTGATGAGCATTGATGCTATAACCTGCTCCTGCATCTTTCCTATGACTTCTGTTTGTTTATGTGTAGTTGTGCACTGTCCCTCTACAAATAAAAGCATACCAAACCAACAATAGTCAGTTTAGATATCCCCCATCTGTATTAACTATTACTGGCCTAGAATTGAATGATATCATCTGAACCCACCAATACCCATCTTCTTCTGTCTGATATTGTGTTTGTAATCAGATTTAAGTTATTTTTTATAAGATCCAGCTCACAGTGCACAGGAAATTAACATGTGAGAGAAGGCCTCATAGTTCTCTACACTTTTAAATAGCTTTTTAATTAAATTCCTGAAATTCTGATTCAGTTTTAAGAAATCATTTACCACTGTTATACGCATGAGATGTTCTTAAATGTTCTTAAATCTTAAACCTACTTTGAATCAGTTAATGACTCTGTTAGACCGGCTATGGTAGAATTTGTTGCCACCTAATGGTCATGTGTGTAAAATATTGTCCACAAACTTTAATTGTATCTAAAAAAAAAAAGTCACAAATTCACAAATGTCAGCGTAAAGATAAAGTAAATATTTTTAGTAAACAGACTAAACCCACATCGGATATGAAATCACTTACCCTGATTACATTACATAATTTTAGTTTGTTCTATTCATAAAAAATTAACAAAACAAATGTGTGATGAATAAATAATGAATGAAAAGAAGCTATAAGTGGAACAGAATAGTCAAAATATCAAAATATTAATCTTAAGCTTAAACAGCAAAGTTATAAATGCATTTTGCCTTTATATCCAGGTTTCGTATAAATTTGTTGATGTAAAAATAAGTACAGTACATGAGAATGAGTTACCCTCCATAGCGTATCCAGTTGAACTTTTGTGTACTCATATTTACTCACCTCTTCCTCTCCTTCCTCCTCTGTCCAGCCCGACCAAGGCCAGCCTGTACGGAGCTATCCTGTTCACCCTGCAGGAGGCGCACTGGCTCCCTGTGGCCAAGAGCACCCTCATCCTGGGCTTCACCCTCTTCATGGCCACCTCCAAGGTACGACCAGCACCCACAGAGAGAACAGCACCCACGGGACCTGAGGGGAAATGGGATTCAGTCAGAAATAGAAAAAAAAAGTTTGACTAGCGTGTGTGTATAGTCTGTTAAACACCAGAGGGCAGTGTTGCATGGACTAGAAACAGAACAAAACTAGTAAAGGAGAAATTCAGGTCTGCCAACTGGACAAAAGTTTTTTTGATCGAATACGTTTCACAGTTCATCCAAGCCAGGGGGACCGAGCCTTTGCTGTCGCTGCTCCCTCCCTCTGGAACTCACTCCCACAATCCATCAGGAACTCAGACTCACTGCAGCACTTCAAATCACGACTAAAAACTCACCTGTTCAAACTGGCATTCCCTCCATGATTCCCCAGTTTTTTATTTGTCTGTAAAGCGTCTTTGAGTGTCCAAAAAAGCGCTATATAAGTCCGGTGCATTATTATTATTATTATTATTATTATTATTATTATTATTATTATTATTATTAGAAGTAGTAGTAGTACTAGTAGTAGTAGTAGTAGTAGTATGCTGGTGCACACTTCCTTATATGTGCCTGAAGGAGTTGTGTTGTGTTTCATTCATACATGACACACACAAACTGGTCATATTTAGCCTGAGTTTCTCTCTCAAACGGAAAGTACTCCACCTTGTGATGTCATGTGGTAATACAGGAAGTGCTCCACTGTGTTTTTAAACTCCATACTCTTTCACTAGAATCATTTGAATGATTTCAGACTTGGAATTGCCATGTAACTGTTAACTTGAAAAGTATCACGATCAGTGGTGTAGTGGGGATTTTTTAAGTGGGTCTATGCGATTTGTGACGTTATCGATGACCCCCTCATTAACATTAACATTAACGGCATTCACTAAACCAGAACTAAACCAGGACTAAACTAGGACTAAACCAGGACTAAACCAGGACTGAACCAGGACTAAACCAGGTCTAAAACAGGACTAAACCAGAACTGAGCCAGGACTAAACCAGGACTAAACCAAGACTAAACCAGCACTAAACCAGGACTAAACCAGAACTGAACCAGGACTAAACCAGATCTAAACCAGGACTACACCAGGTCTAAAACAGGATTAGACCAGAACTGAACCAGGTCTAAACCAGATCTAAACCAGGACTACACCAGGTCTAAAACAGGATTAGACCAGAACTGAACCAGGTCTAAACCAGATCTGAACTAGGACTAAACCAGGACAAATCTTGAACTCGATAGAGAGAGAGGGAGAACCTGGAATCCGTGGAGCCGGGTGTCTGCAAAGTGCGATCGGGCGATGCCTGCGCTTAGCCCCGTGGGGCGTGGAGCTCTGCACCGGTCCGTTGTCCTGCGGTCACCCGACACTCAGTCCTGATTCAGTTCTGGTTCAGTTCTGGTTTAGTCTTGGTTCAATCATGGTTCAGGTCACTATAGGACAGTAGTGCAGATATCATGAGACTGTGCAGGTTTTCAACATTGCAGTAGCTCCGGTTTGACATTTAAGTTGTAGCTATTTTACATTTATTTTTTTATATCTCACGTCGGAAGAAATGGGTGGACGGCATAACTCCACGTACCACGCCCACTACACCCCTGATCACTATCACATCACAAGGTGGAACAGAGCATTTTGAGCTTTGAAGATATAGACAGACTAATAATAAAAGAGTTTCTCAGACGTGTGTGAATGAAACAAAACACAACTCCTTCAGGTGTTTTTGTACGAAGCCGAGAGGGGTCACAACAAATACAAACACCGCAACAAATACAAACGCGACAACACAACAAAAAGCCACAACAAACCAAAAAAAGCCACAACGGAAATGACCGCGGGACTTTATTTTAATGCAAACGCTGCAACAAATACAAACGCCACAACACAAACGCAAATGCCGCAACACATTAAAAAGCCACAACACATTAAAAAGCCACAACACATTATATTTTAAGCGGCAAGTGAAGAAGAAGAACTACAAACGTGAAACGAATAATGATAAAACAATAAATTACTTTTAATTACGTTTCCAACTTCTCCGTTCCTTTACTTTTCACGTTGTAGTTCTTCTTCTTCACTTGCTGCTTGATCGGTCCGTCGGAAAATAGAGTCCCGCGGTCACTTCCGTTGTGGCTTTTTGTTGCGGCGTTTGCGTTTGTTGTGACCCCTCTCGGCTTCCGTATTTTTGAGACGGTAACAACATTATAAGATCCCTTAAAGGAGTCAGTTTTGTGTAACATGTGACCTTTAAACGAACCTTTACTTCCTTTACCTGTGCAGGTTGTGATGACCGCTCGCCACTCCCACGGCTCCCCCTTCGCCCTGATCGAGTCCTGGGTCTGCCACCTGCTGTTCGGCTCTCCTCTGGGGGGCGCCGAAGAGGACCACCACGCCCCCGCCCCCGCCTCCCCCCTCAAAACCAAGGAGGAGCTGAGCGAAGGAGCACGCAAGAGGAAGACCAAGAAGGCAGAGTAGGATGCGAAACGGAAACAGCAGAAACGGCATCTGATTGGCCCTCACTGTGGTCACATGACAGGACTTCCCATTCCTTATTTGGGAAAGGGGCGGGTTATTGCCAAATGAGACCCTTCCTATTGGAGTTAAATGGTGCTTCCTGTATTTTACATTTCACAGCACAAGGACTCAAACCCTGGACTTTCAAGACCTATTTTTGGATGTGTTTGTAGCAGGTTTTCCCTCTCCCCTTTTCCAACCATACGTCATTTTACAAAGAAAGTAAAAACATAAAAATAGCTGAAAATTTTAACTTAAAAATTTCGAATGTGAACAAAACCTTATGTGAAAAACCTTGATGCTTTTTACATAAAGACGATTTGAATAAAATCAGACAAACATTGTGTATTTGTGGTTTCAAATATCTTTCTTTAACATATCTGCTAATACCATCAGCATAAGAATGTTTTACACAGGTACAATGTATTAGAGCTACTAAAGGCCTAAACCAGGACTTATTCCAGGACTAAAGCAGAACTAAACCAGGACTTATTCCAGGACTAAAGCAGAACTAAACCAGGACTTATTCCAGGACTAAAGCAGAACTAAACCAGGACTTATTCCAGGACTAAATCAGACCTAAACCAAACCTGAACCAGGACTAAATTATAACTAAACCAAGACTAAACCAGGACTAAACCAGACCTAAACCAGGACTAAATTATAACTAAACCAAGACTAACACAGACCTAAACCAGACCTAAACCAGGACTAAATCAGACCTAAACCAGGACTAAACCAGGACTAAATCAGACCAAAACCAGGACTAAATCGGGATTAAACCACGACCAAATCAGGACTAAATCGGGGACTAAATCAGGACTAAACCAGGACTAAATAATAAATAAACCAGGACTAAATCAGGACTAAACCAGAACTAAATCAGGACTAAACCAAGACTAAACCAGGACTAAATAATAAATAAACCAGGACTAAACCAGGACTAAATGACAAATAAACCAGGATTAAACCAGAACTGAACCATGACTAAATTAGAATTAAACCAGAACTAAATCAGACCTAAACCAGGACTAAACCAAAACTAAACCAGGACTGAACTTGTCCTAAATCAGGACTAAACTAGACTAAACTAGAACTAAACCATAAAGAAACAAAGACTAAACCAGGACTAAATCAAACCTAAACCAGGATAAACCAGCATTAAACTGGACTAAACCAGACTAGACCAGGACTAAATTAAGAGCATATATATCAGAATTAATCTAGCACTACACCAGGACTATGATCATAACCCAGGTCTAAACCAAAACTATGAATATTCCAGAATAATTAAACCAGTACTAAAACTGTATAAATGGGTCCAAACCAGGAGTATTTTTTCAAGACTAAACGGTCTCTAATCAGGACTAAACCATGTTGGGTAGATCAAGGGTTTCAGACGCCATGTTCAGCTCTTTTCACCATTCAACGATATAGACTAATATTTCTTTTGAGTTCTTAATTACTACGGCAACAGTGCTAATTTTGTTATCACTTTGAAACCCATGGATATCACAGGCCTTTAGATCCAGGGATAAACTGAGACCAAATCCGGATTAAAACCCAATCGCTGGTGTAAGGGATTCTCCAACGTATTAAAAAAGGAAATTAGTTCAGTTATTATGATTTATCTGCTCAACTCAGTCCAAATTTATAATGAGTTCTGTTGAATCAATTAGAACTGTAACTTTCCGGTTGGGGTCTGTCACCTGGAATGTTCCACAGTGTGACATTAAACAGCTCTAACTTTCATTTATTCAATTACAAGTGGTTTTATAGCTCAAAATACAAAGAAAAACAGGAATTCTGATTGTGAGCAGGGGTGCCTCTCCACAGATCTTACCTGTAGCTCGATCTGGTTTGGTCTTAAAAGCGTTTGATGAAGCCTCTACCAGAAAAACTACACAATAGAGATGTAATAATATAATATCCAACACTCTCGATACGATATTCTCACGATATCATCTCACGGTACGATATTTATTGTGATATTTTGTGGAGGCAAAAAAAAAAAAAAAAAGGACTTATTCCAGGACGAAAGCAGAACTAAACCAGGATTATTCTCCAGCATTAAACTGTGACTAAATTATAACTAAAACAGGACTCAACCAGAATTAAACTAGGACTAAACCAGGACTAAATAAGACCTAAACCTTGACTAAACCAGATCTAAACCAGAACTAAACCATGACTAAATCAGGACTAAATCAGACCTGAACAGGACTAAATTATAACTAAACCAGAACTAAACCAGGACTAATTCAGAACTAAACCAGGACTAAATCAGGACTAAATTATAAATAAACCGGGACTAAACTAGGACTAAACCATGACTGATTCAGAACTAAACCAGGACTAAACCAGGACTAAATGATAACCAAACTAGGACTAAGCCATGACTGATTCAGAACTAAACCAGGACTAAACCAGGAATAAATGATAACCAAACTAGGAATAAACCATGACTAATTCAGAACTAAACCAGGACTAAATCAGGACTAAATTATAACTAAATCAGACCTAAACCAGGACTAAGTTATAGCTAAGCCAGGACTAAACCTGGCAAAAAAAAAAAAAAAAAAAGTGAGTTTGCTACTTTTCTCTCATCACAATCCAAATAATTAAGACTTAAACGTGCTTCATAACAGTTATTTCAACATGTGGATTGAACTGAAACAGAGCAAAGGATCATGGTCTATGTAGTTTTTAGCTGTTGCTACACCAAAACAATGAATTTAAGCAGACACACTTGAGATTGGATATATTGTGACGGTCCACGATAATTATCTTGAGACTTTTGACGACACGATATCACGATATTTCGATTATTGTTACATCCTTACTACACGATGCACCTTTAAACCTGTTATTACCTCATGTAAAATATAAAGATGGACTATACGCTTTCTCAAACACGCTGTTACATCACACTAAATCACCAGAGTGTGAGGTCACCGGAGAGGTCAGAGTTCAAAACAAGGTCAAGACCCTAAAACGTCTCAAATGTGGCAGCAGTTAAAGCAGTTAAAACCCGCTGAAGGACGTTATACCGTGTTTAGAAGTGTTAAATGAAGTTAGCAGAACGGCTGTACATGTGACCTTTGAGCCCCTCACTCTGCACAGGAAACAGGCTCCTGCTGCAGTCTGCTTTAACACACACAATATGGCCCTGGGCTGGAACTTTCTCAAACATTTGGACCAATTAAACAGAAAATATGCATTATCTGTCTACTCGAGTATCACTAAAAAGGAATTAAAACATATTTACCCTGCAAATTACTCTGTCTGGTCAAGATTGGAAACTTATATCATCTTATTCATCTTGTTTTTAGATAGTTTTTATCTACTTACTAGACCAGAGATGACTTAATTCTAGTCTAGAGGTAGTTTATTTTAAGATAAATTGTCAAGTAAAATGATTTTGCTGCATAGACAGACAATTTCACTACTTTTAAGTCATTTTCTGATAGATTTGTGTTTATATTTTAAGTTTTGGCCAAACTTTTTGCAGTGTAGGAAGATAAAGGGCCTAATCTAATATAATACAGATTTGAAAAGGTTGTTTAACAGCTGGAATGCTCCATAGTATAGCATAAACTTAATAATCTTCAGCAATACAAGAAGACAAAGTTGCTGATCAGAAGAGGCGAATCTGCTCACAGTAAGAATATGTTTTTCAAGGTGTTTTTTATCTTAAATACTTGTTACAGAAGAAAAGTAAAACAGGTAGACAAGCAGACCACCAGAAAAGTTACACGATGCAACATCAAAGCAACGTTTTCTCGATGTTTTTACCCATTAATAATATATGATAATTTACTTAAATTCAAATGGGGTATGGTTCCTTTTGGGGTTAACTGTAAATATCTATCAAATGAAGCTCATGGCTAATGAAAAAACAGCAGTTCTACCTCAGAGCAGTACAATTTCTGATGTTCAAAATCAAAAGTACGTATTTTTAAATGCTGGAAAACTCTTGGCCTCTCAGCCTCTGCGCTAACTGTAATAGATGTGATTCAGGAGAAAAGGCAGGATCTACCCAGGCAATTTTGACTCATGTTTTGAGCGAAATCAGAGGACGTGATGAGGGACATCTTAAAGAGGATCTGGAAGGGGAGAGGAGGAGAAAAAGGAGATAGATAGGAAGGATAGAAGGGGGGGAGAGAGGAGGAGAGGAGGGCTAGAGGAGAGGGAGGAAAGATGGGGAGATTAGAGGGAAAGATGAGAGTAATAGAGAGAGAAAGGGAGAATAGGAGATGACACAGGGAGAGGAGGAAGAGCAGGGGGATGAGAGGGGTAAGATCTTTGGGGGGACCTGGGGGACAGAGGGGGCTGATCTGAACCAAAAAGAGAGTGAGGAATGCATTCCACATCTGCTGGTGTGATTACCACCACAGACTCTGATCTAGCCTCCATTTGTTGTTCTGAGCGCTGGACTCTTGTGTACAGACAACAAAAGCTTCAGTATATCTAACTCACTACAACTATGGGCGCCGTTTGGAGGACTTTGACCACTCAAAATCACTGATTTTGAATTATCAACTGACCTAAGAGGTCCTAATTTCTCATCACTCTGAGGCCCATATAAGTTAAAACAAGATTTCATACAGACCCTGGGATCTTAACAGGGGAATTGTCCCAATGTGACGTGAAATAACCCAAACCATTTGAAGTCCCCAAAAGGTCAAATGCAGCACAGGTGGAGCAGCATTTAAGCGTTTCTGCATGCTGTCCCCGTGTCTGTGCAGATTTCCTCCTGTACATGTAACAGGTATATTAGGCATTAGGCTCTCTTCTGGGGCCAGAGATCCACTGAAAAAAAATCTCTCAAAGTGAGGCTTTCCTGTTTAAATAAAGAATGAAATAAATGTAAAGAGAAACTGAGCATAATACACACACACGTCACTTCAGAAGTGTCTGCTGTCTCTTATAGTGGGACAGTCGTGTTCCTAAAAAAGAACAGGGAAGCTCCATTTGAGCACACTATAATAATAAACAAGTATAAAATGTTTCCTGGACTTGAAAGTCCAAGAATCGTAAAACTGTTGTGTAGGCCGTTCTCACTTCTGTGTTGTGCAATGTCTCATTCACTTGTAGAAGTTTGTGGTTCGAGGGATTTCAGGGAACTGATCCAAAGGGAAGAAGAGAAGGAGGAGGAAGAAGAAAAGGAAGAAGAGGAGGAGGAGGAAGAGGAGGAGAGGGTTATAAAGGGGCAGTGCAGGGGTACATTGAGAGGGGGGAGAGGAGGAGAGACAGGGGGTATATAACAGCTCAGGGGCACTTTCTGGAGGAAGCTGCTGTCTGGACTGAACATGCTGCACGTTCTGCTCCTGGTCTGGGCTCTGA